TGTTGGACTGTAGTGAGACGTGGCTCAGGGGGCCTCCACTTGAGCTGGATCCATTCTGTGTGAGCTGATATGTCTGGGGTTGACTTGTAGAGTGTTGTTGGACTTGAGTTAGCTTGCCGCTTTCATCAACACTGAGGGTGTAGGTCTCTGGACTGAAGGTCCTACTGCTTGAGTTTGAATTTCCCTGACTGTTCTGATTTCCTCTGTTTTTATTTCTTTGATTGTCTCCTTGGAAATTGTTACCCTTCCTGTTGAATGGGCATTCTCCCCAAGTATGCTCTCCATTATGCTTTCTGCAGGGCTTTGCGTTGATTTTCTTCTGTCTTTCATTTGCATTGGAATTGCTGGAATTGCCATTGCTGCTGGTATTTTCATTACCCTGTCTTTATTTCTTTCCATTCCTCCTTTGTTCACTCGAATTATTTGGGGCTCTCTTTCTGGATTGGTTATTATACTCTTCATCTGCTATTCCCTTCTGATCTGTCATGTATTGCACTATTTGAGTGATGGACTTGTTTAGAATGTCCTTGCCACAAAGGATGTAGCCATTCTGCCATGGTTTGKGGAAGGACCTGAAAAGGATCTGTTTGATCTCCCTTTCAGATAAAGGTTGCCAGATGCCATGAAGGAGGTTGGCTCTGGCACAGCAGGTTTCAACTCTATCTGCGAGTGGCATCTGAGTAAAGGTATTCAATAACTTCATCTCTGGCTCTCTTCGATGGCGCATACAATTTCCTGAAGATCAGGAGAGCCTCTTTCTATTGTTCCTTGTTGGTTCTCTGTATTTCCAGTCTATTGTTGTTCCACATGCTGTTCCAATTCTGTCTGGTGGGCCTACTATGTGTGAGGAGGACCATCTGCCACTTCTGATCAATTTGTTCTTCCCTCAATTCCACATCCACTATTGCATCTTCAAAATCCTCCTCAATATGGAATAGTTCCTGCAATCCATGTTCCCCTGAGAAGACCAGGCAGCTTCTTGTCAGTTTCTTTGCTGGTTCCCTGACTATTACTCTTCTTCCCACAGTTTCTGTTACTGCTGGGTGGTTCACGGAAATGGTAGTTGAATTAAGCTTGTCAGTGTCAAAGCCGTTGCTTAGGGTGAGGCAGGATTGGTGTGAGTGTTGATGTTGTTTGGGAGAGGTATTCTTGTTTGGTTTCACCATGGTCAATTCCTTATTTTTGGTTGTTTTTCTTAATGGTTGATTAATTTTGATACACGTCAAAATGATGTAGTAATTACTGTGCACAAGATTACGTGTACTTTGCTTTTTAGTGTATGAAATAATGAAATTATAAGATTATAGATTATCTATAGATTCTTGTATCTCTTTGTGAGATTTCCAAAGTTTTGATTAGATCCTTGCATAGGTCTGGTACTGAATCTACACAGGGTTCTTGATATTTGGAACTCGTGACATCTTTGTTCTTTCTAAGATAAGATATCTTGGACCTCTTACGATCCTCGGACTTCTCACAATGGATCGTATGATACATACTTATGAATACCAAGAAGAAACGACACAGACCCTCTGCGTCACCAAAGCTCTCTTTGGTCTCTACCACAATTACCCGTACCATACAAACTACTATGAACAATTATTTCCATTAATTCCTCAGCCAAAACAAAACCCTGGTTGCACTTCCATCAAAACTCCTTGGAGGGAAGTGCCGCCCCTCGGAGCAGCTAGAAGCATACTTTCCAACAAAAGCTATGGTTCTGGCCATCTTAGTGCCTCTTCTAGTTCACGAGGTAAAATATAATATCAAGATTTTTTTTGATACATACTTATGAATAGTACCTTATGATATGTAGGTAGGAATGGTATGTCCCTTCATTCCTTTTTTTTGAAGTATTGTATGTACGTATTCTTTCATTACAGTACATACGTACTATCCCTTGCAGTTGAGACCATCAAAAACCAGACAGAATTTTGATTCCCAGTACAAATTCTGTGAAACAAAACCGCTGGGCTATCCCTTTAGTCCTGCTGTATCACAGGTGTTCATATATTGCACAAAAAGGGGAGCAAATCCGGTTTTGGGTGTAAATCTAGAGTTAGGGTTAATACAAAAATTCAGTAGGAATCAAGCAATCTGATTGGCCAATTAGACAGATTGAAATTATCAAAAACTCAACAGGTTAATTCTCAAGTAGAATCCTATGGCAGATTTGTACTAGGAATGAATATTTGCTTCATTTTAAATCATTTAATTTTATGCTACCACTTTGTACTGTTCTGGTTTTCACCAGCATTATATTCCTACTTCATATCTTCTAGTAATGACTGAGCTTGTGTAAGCTTCATAACAACTATCAAAATCATTTTCATCTGCTGCATATAGTTCTTTAAATGCAGACTTCACTTAACTGCTGTCTTCCTCCTCCTTGTATTGATTCTCTGCATGCTTGAATGTGAGAGAACTTGCACAAGAAATCATTACCTCAATGAAAGCTTTTGCTCTTGTTGTTTGCTCCTGCATAAATTCTGGTTCAGAGTCATGGGCAGAGCACTCTGCTGCTTTCTGTAGCTGCTAGATGGCAGTTTCTTCTTCTGTCATGTGAGTCCTCATTGAACCTTGAGACATGTGCATTGGATTACCAGTGTGAAGATATCTTATAGAGTTGGCCAGCAGATGTACGATAATATCGTACATTTGGGCCATCTTTTTCCTGTGTAAAATATGTCAAGTGCACTGACTGACATCACAAAATCTTGTCAAAACACCCCATTTTTTTCTATGGAATTTTTGTCATGATGTCTGTCAAAGCGCTGGAAATATGATCTTGATGAACATACCTATTTCCTATTTCCATACCCCCAGTATTTTGTGGTACGTAACATTTTTCATGTACATTCATATCAAGCTGGCCGGTGTACGTGCATTATTTTATTTACAACTGTGATCTCTTAATATGTAGCATTTCCCACTGCACAGCTGCTAAGTAAGAGATACAAAAAATGATACATTTGCACCAATGCTGCTTGTCGGCTCACAATCCATTCATCATTCTTTTAGTATTGAACCATCTTCAATCCAATACAGAAAAAAAAAATCTTAATATTATTTTTAACCTCGTGAACTAGAAGAGGCACTATATGGCCAGAACCACAGCTTTTGTTAGAAAGAATGCTCCTAGCTGCTCCGAGGGGCGGCACTTCCCTCCGAGGAGTGCTAGTGGAAGTGCGACCAGGGGTTTGTTTCACTGGAATTAAAAGTATTGACTGAGCTTGGTTTGAAGTAAACTGGAAGAATGGACAGGAGGAGCCAAAGAAGTCTCTGGCACAGCAGGTTGTTTGTGTCGCTTCTTTTTGGAGTAGGCGTCAAAGACCAGTGAATTGTGTGTGATGCTCTCCGGTGGTTGCTTACTATGTGGCAATGATGTAAAGTACTGGGTAATTGGTCAAGTGTTGGAGACAGATGCAAGTGTTGCTTTGGTGACACTTGCCAGAATTGTTTTCTCGTAGACTCGAATGTAATATGTGAGCATAGAAGTAGATGCAGTTGATAAAAAGGTTTCCACGTCTTCTGGGAAGAGGTGGGCATGGGATGGACATGTCTGTGATTTCAGTTCAAACAGAGTGCGGACTTTCGTTACCACCTGCTGTCGATGCTTGGCTTGCTTCTGGGTAATTGTGTAGCCATGAAGATCTTTGTTTCGTTGTTCCCATATTGATATATAAGAGGTAATAAAGAATTCCACGAGATAACCCCCCAGCACGATTGGGGAATAGGAGCCAGAGTGAAGATCAAGATCTGTAAACCACTGATCTTCAATCCAATACAACCACACCAGCAATCTACGATTACTCCATCAAACACCATCTAATTCAGAGGAGGATGCTGATACGGAGAGGAGGACGCTGTTACAAGCTGCTGATACAAGCCGCTGATAAGGAGGATGCTGATACGGAGATGCTGATATGGAGATGCTGATACGGAGGATGCTGATATGGAGGACACTGTTACGAGTGGCTGATACGGAGGATGCTGATACGAGAAGCTGATATGGATGCTGATACGGACGCTGATACGCAGGCTCACTGCTGATATGGAGGATGCTGATACAGAGGCTTGCTGCTGATACGAGCCGCTGATGCAGAGGATGCTGGTGATACGGAGGATACTTACTATATGGAGATGCTGGGGTGATACGTAGGATGCTGCTATGTAGGATGCTGATATGGAGCCTCGCTGCTGTTACGGAGGCTTGCTGATACGGAGGATGATAAGACGGGGGAGGAATACTATGGAAAGAGGAGCTGCTGATACGGAGGATGCTGACACAAGTTGCTGATACGAATCCCCTGATTGCACTGATATGTAAGACCAATGTTGGATAGCTATTAAGAAATACTTCTAGTAAGCAGTATTCCTCCTATTTACACTGTTAGCAACACCACCACCTCCAGTACCAGTAGTATTGGGCCTGAGGTGATTGTAGGAATCAGTAGCAATGAGTTCCCGTGGTGTTTACTACTATTTCCAGTAGTAAGCAGTATTCATGCTGTTTTGTTACACCTTAATTTTCAAGTAGTTAGCAATCTTACGAGGACTTCGCAGTTGAAGGTGTGCACTCGTGTACCTCAATTTTTAAGCTTTTTTGAATTTTCCCTCCAGCAGTAAGGCTCACTCTTACAAATAACACGGAGTTAGCGATAATTTGCATGTTTGTTGGATTCTACGGACTTTGTACTGTGTAGTAGTATTTATTATTGTATCATTTATTACAGATACCCACGTAGTACTACCCGCATGGTACGAGTAGTACAGGCGCTGCGCGAGCTCCTCCACAGATAACATACGAGTATCGTACTATCGTACCACTAGTAACTAAACGAGTCTGATTGCAGCATTTTTTTGTACTGTACTTCGTATTTAAATGCTATGTACAGTATCGTACCGTACCGTGCATGGATGGAATTGGTTGATCTCTGATCGCTGCTACGGTCACGCATCATGGCTAATTATTCCTCCATCTCAATCCTGTTGACATCCTCGTGCGTCTTAGATAATTCGAGAGTTTCAATAGGTTTGCTTTCCGGAGCTATGTTTCGCTGAGCTTCCCTAGCAACCTCAAGATCATTGTCGTCCAGAAACCGAGTCGCATCAAATTGATAAAGAATATAGCAATGCCGGCCAACGATGGGGGACTCGGAACCGCCCTCCTTGGCGAAAAAATGGTGATGGGAAATCTAAACTTGACCATCACGAAATTGCTTGGAGAGGGTAAGTCGTACACAAATGATCGATGGTGCATTTTCATTCGTCTTTGTTCGCAACTAACTCTGTATCAACAAACAATTGCCAAACCATGTCGACTGTATGAAAAAGGTGGTTTCTCGTATGTTTATCTAGCAAAGAATAGTGACGGTGGAGGTTTGCTTGGATCACAGAACACGAATAATGGAAGGGCGGTGTCTCCACATCGTGGTGGTTCTAATTCAGAATCGAACGACGAAATCCCTCCGGGACCATTGGTGCTGAAGGTAACATCAATACACTCAAGGTCACAGCGTGACATTGCAGAGAAGGAAGCAAAGTTGTTATCGAGACTATCACATCCGTCTATCGTAAAGATGTATGTTGCTTCTTACAGAACAGTCACCAATCAGCATTCTGGAAAACGTGGGAAAGAATCGATGCACAGCGGGAAGGAACGACCCCAGCATTGTATTTTGATGGAGTTCTGCGAGGGAGGCCACGCTCTCGATGTATGCAACAAACTGAGAATGGAGGGGAAACGATTCGATCGAAGTACATTGATTATCGCGTTCGGACAGATCTGCAACGCCGTCAGTTATCTGCACGCCCAGAGACCTCCAATAGTACATCGCGATTTGAAGCCAGTGAACTTTCTCGTAAAAAATGGCGCATACAAACTTTGTGATTTCGGATCGGCTGTATTTGGGCATGTGGACTTGAGAACCCAGCAGGCTCGTGTCGAAGCAGATGAGGTCGTTCAAAAAACGACCACACAAATGTTTCGGGCTCCTGAAATGGTGGATCTATATGTAGCCAAGAAATTGACGCAATCGTAAGTACCGTTCCATGTTTTGACATAATATTCATTCAGTTTATGATGTCATCAAATGCTACTTCAGGACAGTTCTGCGACGATGCCTCTAACAAGTGGAATAATTTTTATCCAGCACCGACGTTTGGGCTTTGGGGTGCTGCTTGTATTCTATGGCTTTCTTGCAAAATTGTTTTGAGGAGGGTTCAAATCTGGCTATACTGTCGAGAAATTATACGATTCCTGATGACAATCCATACGGAGATGGTTTGGTTGAGCTCATAGATAGAATGTTGACCGTCGACTATAAAGCCCGGGCAGATATGACTGAAGTAATTTTGTGTTTGTCGGCGGTTTATTCAGGACGACCGTTGCCTCCAAGAAAAAAATCTACTCGATCTTCAAAATCAGATGAAAAAGAACAAAACAAGAATCCTGAAGAAACCACAAAAAAAGACACTCAGAACGATTCTCGAGTAGGTAAATTTCGCACTGATTCCCAGGGATATCGCGATGAGAATATCTATGATCCGACGAAAGCAAAGGAAGGGAAAAAACTAGCTTCGAACTCGGTAGCAGCTCGAAGGAAACGAGCCGCAGCGTCATCGGCTGCTGTCTCTGCAGGACAACATTCGCCTCTGTCGGATCCGCTGACTTTTAGCTCGATTCAACAATCCGGTGCCGAACTCGATACAGATGCTGCGTTTTCTTCGTTTGGGGATCTGGATCGTAAGTTTTGATTTCGCTGACTTCAGTTGCAATACTCATGCCCAATATCACCGAAGATAGTAGGCGTTGGATCTCATTACTGTTTCTCACATTATTTTGACACGACAAACAGGCTTCGAAAACAGTAAAGCTGATAATTATTTTTTCGAAGCGTTTGATGGTGTAAAAGGTATCCAACAGGGGTCTGGCGCAAATGATGGCTTTGATCCCGACGTGTTTGGAACGACGGGTTGGGGTGACAGCATTCAGGACAACATGGAAAATTTTCAGAGAATGAAACTGGATGCCATTGATGGCGACAAATCGAAGGAAGATAACGCTCAACGCGTAAAATCCCGGAGGAAATCAGGAATGAAGTTCCGATCAAACCGCGATATCGATGCCAAAAACCCGGGAACTGACGGTGAAAAGAACGAGAGGCGATCGAGAAAAGAAGGTGACCAGAAAGGTGAAGACGACAAGGAATATCGACAGCGTCGGAGATCATCTAGTCGTTCGAGAAGGAAGGGCCGAACGCCGCGCCAAGGCAGCGGAAAAGCATTCGACGAAAAAGAAGGCTTCTCTGGTGATTCAGAAAAATTCTCGAAATTAGGTAGCTTCAGGGCCGTGTTCAACAGAAAACAAGGGACTTGATGACGAACCGAAAACAAGAACGGTGGGATATTGAAATAGTGATACAAATAAGTTTATTAATTTCCATCAATGATTTGATTTTTCCGCATGAAATTGCTTTGGGATTGCATTGCTGAAACTGCAATAAAATCTCATTATTGACAACAGCAGAGTACTGAGGAACCAACGCCGAAATTGAACCGTAATGACTGAAGTTGCGCACGCGTGATTACACGTGTAATCATTGAATGAAATTGGAAGCAAATAGAGGACAGATGAATCCTACTCTCACATAGACTCCTTGTACAATACTACAACAACAAACTCCGTACTGTTACAGTAAATCCTGCTACTAAATCAAGTGGTGCTGCTGGGACTCGCCACTTTATTGCAAATAGAAAGAAATGCAACCTTGACATCCTTTGTGTACTTTCTAATTTTCTTCAGGTCTTTTCTCAGCACCTTTCCAAGAACCCTCTTTCTCAGATAGTTTGAAGACAACAAAATTGGGTATATCAACTTCCAGCAATGAGTCAACACAATGGGTGTTGCTCCAAACTCTGCCATTTTATCAGATTCTTTGATATGATGCTCATCATGAGGATAGAGTACCCCCCTGGAGGCAATGCTAACCATTTGCATTGCTGACAATACCATTATTCTTGTTCTGTTTGATGATCTTCGGAACACCAAACCAAAGCCCTAGTAGTAGCAGTAGTAGCAGCAGGATCATTAGTCAAGTAGCAATGGCAAGCAGTTCCAACAAAATGCCAGTAAGCCTTTCAAATAGACCATCCTGTGCCTCCTTTTCTGGTGCATCACCAAACTGACATGGATGTAGAGTGCAGTGAGCTCTGGCTTTCTGAATGTCATCTCTCCATTTTGATCCAAGAAGGAAATTGAAATCAGCTTTGTACATGTGTATCACTCAAAGTCTGTGGAGTTTGGTGTTGCCTGTGTCTTTGTAGATCATCAGATTCACAATGGTTTGCCAGCCCTTGAAGGAGTATCTGTGCTTGAGTGCGTAGTTGAGAATGGCAATGTAGCAGTGGATGACAGAGGCTTGAATTTTCTGAAGAGGGTCCAGGACCGTATCATCTTGTTCATGGATCTCTCTAAAGAGAAATCTTATAGTGACATTGATGGCGTAGAAGTAGTCTCTTGCCATTTGGTAAACTTGGTGGTGAAGTCTGCTGGAGAGACCTGGGCGGACAGGGAGTCCAGAGTGGTGACACGGCGCAAATAATAGAGGAAAAGTGAAGTAATATGGTCAGAGACCTTGTTGGAGAAGTTAGTACCATCAAGCACAAGTTCTGCTGCTTGGATAGATGCACTCCAATTGAAGTGCGTTTTCAGTGGCGGCTGTGTGAAAGGTGTTTTGTCTGTCTCAGCAAAATGTTGTTGGTTCCTCAGTTGAAGAAATTTCTCAATATCTGCAGGGGTGAAGATTGTCACCCAGCAGTCAGTTGGATCAGTAACTGTTTTTGGGTCAATCAGGGTGGCATTTGGAGCAGATGGATCAAAGGATGTCCATTCTATTGGAATCTGGATCTATGTAATGGCAGGACCAGTCTGAACCTGTTGGAAAAAATGGTGGAGACATCTATATGCTGCATTCTGCTTTTCTTGTCTGCAAAGTTGTCATAGACATTGTGTGCAAGTAGAATCAGCGGCATCCATTGAAATATTGGCTTGTTTGAGGAGAAATAAATTGCATCTGTTGGCAGATTCCTGGAGAAGTATTTTGATTTTAAGCCTGAGTTGGTGCATATGGAATTGTTTTTGTGGAACAGTTACATCAGGAGGGATATGAAAACTCACTGTGGTAGCTCTGGTGAGAAGTGCTGTACAACCCAAGTGTTTCTGCTTTTTTGGCTGTAGACAGAAAGTTCTTGTTTCAAAAGATACAGGTCAACACTCCAGTAATTTCTTGGTGACACTAGGCATTTGTTTTCAGCAGCTCTACTACTAGATTGAAGAATGTCAACATCAAGAGCTTCAGTCTCTGCTTGATCAGGGGCAGATGAAGAAAGAAACCTGTCAATTTGAGACTTGAGGTGATGGACTTGCATGTAGTCATGAAAAGCTTGAAGATATACTTTGATTGCCTTATGGTCCTTGCTTGAAAAGGTTGGGATGTCACTGGTGGTATGAGTTCTTGAGAAAACAATTCTGCAACATCCAAGTCAAAGTAGAATCTCCTGTGATCACCAGACAGTTGGTACTTGAAGGGTTCATAGACAAAACTGTTTATGTAAGTGCACAGCTCTTGAGAAACAAGGGCAAAGTCAATGCACTGTCATCCTCTGTGATATGTTGGGAAATCAGGATGATTAGGATGGAGGTAAGTCCATGGATCAACAAGGCCTAAGTCAGTCATGAAAAACTGAATAGTGGAAGAATTCAAATCTCCCATAAGGCAGATTGATAGCACTCCCTCATGAGTATCCACAGCTTTGGTGAAAATAAAAAGTGTTCAAGATCAGAGATGAAATGTTGGCAAGGATTTGGATCATCACGACCTTCTTGAACAAAGACACTCTCCTGTTGGTGAAAGACAGTAAACAAAATTGAAGAACTACTCCTTGACCATGACCTCTCTGATTCATCTGATCTGGAGCAGGATGAATTGGAACATCTTCTCCAGGACTCCCCATGCCCACCTCTTCCCAGAAGACATGGAAACCTTTTTATCAACTGCATCTACTTCTATGCTCTCATATTACCTTCGAGTCTACGAGAAAACAATTCTGGCAAGTGTCACCAAAGCAACACTTGCATCTGTCTCCAACACCAGACCAATTACCCAGTACTTTACATCATTGCCACATAGTAAGCAACCACCGGAGAGCGTCACACACGATTCACTGGTCTTTGACGCCTACTCCAAAAAGAAGCGACACAAACAACCTGCTGTGCCAGAGACTTCTTTGGCTCCTCCTGTCCATTCTTCCAGTTTACTTCAAACCAAGCTCAGTCAATACTTTTAATTCCAGTGAAACAAACCCCTGGTTGCACTTCCATTAACACTCCTCGGAGGGAAGTGCCGCCCCTTGGAGCAGCTGGGAGCACTCTTTCTAATGAAAGCTGTGGTTCTGGCCATATAGCGCCTCTTCTAGTTCACGAGGTTAAAAATAATATTAAGATTTTTTTTTTTTTATCTTCTCCAGGACTCCTCAGTTCTCATGAGTCCCACTAAAATTCTTCCTGCTGGTACACACATGGTTTTTGATGGTGATGAAAAAGTACACAACAATGACCATGAAGAAGAATGGAACAACAATGTCACTCAGCATCAATCTCGTTGTATCAGGGATGTTGTGCAATTCTTTGAACAAGTACAAGACTCAAGTCCACCCAAGAGGAGAGGAGGTTAGCTCTGTATGATAGGAGGATCACTACTAGTACTGCTGGAAGTATCATTCATGATTATCTCCAACAATGAAGAGTCATTTGGTGGGTTTCATTTGAGGAAGCTGAGACTGGTAACAGTCAAATACTGTCAACAAAGCTTGCATTACGGTCATGGTGACATGGAATGGCAAGAAGTTGTTGGGTGATGATGCAGAGGAGTGGTCTCCTCCTCCCTCTGTCCAGTATACATCACCTGGAGGAGGTGTGACCCCAGGACCCACAGGTGCTGCAAGGTATACAATGTATGTCTGCACTAATAAGGTGGAAGGGTTGGCGCATTTATTCTTGTTCTTGTTTGATGAAAGAATCCTTCAGCTGATAGCAAATGATCCCAACCAGTATACATTTGAGGATTGAATTTGAAAGCTCCACATGATCAACAAGGTTCTAAGCCAGAGTGGATGCCAAAGCTTTCAAAGAATGGAAAATACCACCCTTGTGATTGTGGGATTTGTCTCTTCTGTGTGAACAAGATTTCCAGCACAGCCATTGCTCATGGAAAGGTAACTTCAAAGCCACAGGAAGAAACATGGAGTGGCAAGTATGAAGGAGTGAAGAGAAACTATTGTGTTGTCTGTGTAGAAGAAGCAAAGCATAGGTATCCTAACTCATCAGTGAAGAGATTGAGGAAGTTTCCATGGATTAGTATGAAAATGTCAAGGAATGGTTGCAGAAGTTGCAATGTTGTTGTATGTAAAGAGCATGCATTGGAGTAATTTCAACCATCAAGTATAGTGATGTATTATTAATGAATATATTTATATTTGTTAAAATATATTCTTGTAATATTGTTTATAGTGATGAGAGGGGTGTGACAAGTAGAGTAGTAGTAGTAGCAAAGAAAAGAAATCCTAAATTTTCCGGGTGGCAACACGCGACGGGAAAAAGTTAACGGACGTACCCCATGCGGCACCAGGACAACCACACCCAAAGCAAACGCCATGGAAACCTAACCCTTACTTCGGCCTACAAAATCTCTATTGCCCGCACCACTGATGCCACCACCAGCGGCACCAGCAACAGCTCCACCAGCGTGAATACTTAAAAAGTAGAATTGGAACACCCATCAATTTATTCATGTTCCTCCTCCCATTTGTCAACAAGATCTTTGAATAGACCACCTTTGGCTAACAGAGCGCTTGGTGTATCGAATTCAACTGCCTTTCCATCCGCCATCACAAGAATATGCGTAGAATCCATGATTGTGTTGAGTCGGTGGGCGACAGTTAGTGTCGTAGAACGAGCAAATTCGTCGCGGAACACACGCTGAATGCGAGAGTCGGCTTCGGCATCAATTGATGACGTTGCTTCGTCACAGATAACAATGGAAGCACGACCAATTAATGCTCTTGCGATTACGAGGAGCTGTCGCTGACCTGCTGAAAAATTTCTTCCGTCTTGTTCAATCTTGTCTTCTAATGATTTTATAGCGAACGAAGAATCGCCACTCCGAAGTCCCAAACGATCGAGTATATCCATCAATTTTTGGTCCGACTGCTGGTTGAAAGGATCAATGTTAGTCCTGATTGTACCCGAGAAAAGAACAGGATCTTGTGGGATGACCGCAATTTTGGAGCGTAGTGTTGTCAACCCCAAAGTTGTGATGTCGACGCCATCTAAGAGAATCTTTCCACCAGCCGGTTCGATCAGGCGCGTGAGACCATTCATCAAAGTTGACTTTCCAGCGCCTACAAGAATCAGAAAACAAATTTTAGATGAGTTGCAATCAGACAAATGACGAAATCATATGCGAGCAACAAATGACAGAACTCACCGGTTCTGCCAACGATTCCGACCTTTGCTTGACTTGGTATGGTGATATTTAGTCCTTTCAGTACTAAGGGAAGACCAGGTCTGTACCTTAGTCTATAATCATCGAATTTTATGGACCCTTTCGATGGCCATTCGTTGTCCAACAACACGTCTGTTGGATTGTGATGAGGTGCTTCCTTTTCTACCTCTATGTATTGTTGTATGCGTTCCACGGAAACCAAGCTGGCTTCAAAGTCACTAGACAAACGGATAGCATAAACCAAGTTAGATGTGGTAGTCAAAAGATATGATAATGCCAAACCGGCCATACTGGCAAAGACTTCGTCAACAGTGGTGCTGGCATGCTTATGAAGCACAAAACCAAGGCAACCAAACGCAATTAACAAGGTTCCGATGAATTCAAGTCTGATTGCAAGCCAGTAAGTTCCCACTCTCAATAAATAGTATGCATGCTGTTGTCTATCAATAAAGTTGGACATGCGAGATGACAGCGCTGGTCCAGCTTCAAAGGCACGAATTGTGCTAGAATAAGCAGAAAACAAATTACAGTCAAGTGAAGCAATATAGAACACATTGATAGACAGTTGATAGACGGTTGATGAGAAGGCAATCGCTGTACTTCGTGTACACGAATCAAAATGTAACCAGCACGAAAACAATATTTGGAAAAACTCACCCATAACCATTCAAAGCTTCCCCGAAGAGGCTGTAAATGGGACTCCGGGATGTTGAATCAATTCGCTTTAGTTCTCTATTACTTCGACTGAAATAAGTATGCTGTTGCTTGTAATATGCACCTAGAAATGGAAGTATGATAGACGCTAGTGGAATTGTTGACACCATAACTGCAATCGAAGTTGCTATGCTGAACATCGTACCTGCGAAATTCTTGAAGTTTGAAACTAAAGTCTCGTCAACCGTATTGATATCTAACGTTGCAATTCGCAAAGGTGAGTGCTGTATTGTATGAATCATCTCGTATTCTTTGTCGTAAGTAACTCAGACACCCGAGTGACTTACCTTTGCTAAATCGATTCACGAGACGTCCAGTAGGCGTGGTATCGAAAAAGGACATGGGAGCAGTCAACATTGAACCCAACAAAGCCGAGAAAAACTTGTGCAAGGTGATGAAATACGGCTGTGAGTTGTAGAAAGCAAATGAAAACGAAATAAAGAACTAGAGACAGCATAGAACTTACTTTTTTGGAGGCCTTCAATCCGAAAAGTACTGGCATAATCGATTTCAAGAAATTAACCGCTATGCCAGTAAGATAGAGAAGCGTATATACTGACAAATAAAAGAGCTGACTACCCATGTCCTTTGCTCCGCTAGTTCCCCAGAATTGAGTCAGCCAAAACCTTTGAAGGAAATCCAATCCTTGTTGAGCTATGAAGGCTAGGAACAACGGTATGACAACCCAAACACCGCCTGCAGCCTTTGCCCACGCACTGTAGACTTTCCATTCAACCTTTCCTATCTGACTCTCCGCAGCTTCACTAGTCGTCAGCGTCGTTCCCTTTCCTACGATTTTGGGACCTTCAACTGATCTTCTCGAAGACATTCTACAACTTGACGATCTTCTTGAAGTCACTCTACGACTTGATGAACTTCTAGATAGGATGGAAGATCTTCTTCTTTCTTCTACGTGCTCGAGGTCATTTAGATCGTGTAAAAGATCTGATAGAATTTCCTCCTCGATAAGCTCGTCTTCGTCAACATCGGTATCGTTTTCTTGTTCCATTGAGTCTTTGAAAGTATCCAACATGGACCTAAAAACAGAACCATCGGTGTTAACTAAAGTGTCATAAGTGCCAGACTCAGCAATCAAACCATCCTTCAAAACCACGATCCGATCAACCTTTGGGTGACTCAAATACTGAAGTGCATTCGTGACCAGGACAACAGTCCTCTTCTTTCTTCTTCCTCTTTTGATTCTATCCTTCAAAAGAACATCAACGATGCATTTGTCAAATAAGTCACGCCCCACATGGGCATCAACAGCACTCAAACAATCATCTAATAGCGATATATCCGCATCTCTATATACAGCTCTTCCAATTGCAACCCTGGCCTTTTGGCCGCCACTAATGAGATGAATAAACGTTTAGAATCGACTTCTGAGTCACATATTGCATTGCTGAATAATTCCAATGCCCAAAACAAAAGGAATCGCAAAATGGCACCTCGTAGTCAAAAGTTCTCACCTCAGATTGACTCCTTTTTCTCCGATTTCAGTTTGGTCCCCAGCGGACAACAATTTCAAATCATGTTCTAAGCAAGCTGATTTGACAGCGACCTTGTACAAGTCGTGATCTATGTTTTCGGAGCTCTTTCCAAACAAAATATTTCCCTTCACAGTGTCGTTCATAATAAAAGGATTTTGACTGAAGTAAGCAATGGTACCTCGCACTCCTAACTCTCCTGATACTTTTTGGACTTCTCCCAAGATTGACTTCAATAACGTTGTCTTTCCAGAACCAACTTCTCCGACAACGGCGATAAAATCGCCCTCGTTGCATTTAAAGCTAATTCGTCTCAAAGGTAGAATATTTTTGAACCCATCGTTGAAATCATCTGAAAGTCCACCATCAGTGTTGGCTGTTCCATATTGACAAGAAGTCCGGCCTTCCAATTTGGCTAAATGTTCCTCCACATCTGAAAGCATTGCCTTAGCCAATAGTAATTCCTCTTCTTTCTGACCAAGTTTGCTTCTAATGCTAAGTTTCTTTGAACCATCTCCATTCTTACTGAATCCATGGTAGCTAAACGTCGCATTCATTATGTCAATGGCAACACAAGCGTCACCAGCGCTTTCGTTGCGATCTTCGTCTGTCAATCTACGCACTCGCTCCACGTTAGGTGCTATCAAAAACTTTTGAATACGCTCAAGGCACACGTTTGCTTCTACGCCAAGATTCAATATAAAAGGAAAAATACCCAGCGGAAAGCTCAAAAGATTGAAAACTGAAATGGACGTCAAAGCCGTTGCGGCATCCATGCTATGCCCCAGAATCGTAACGTAGATTCCAAAAGATGAGACGGCAACCATCATTGGAATTGCACTACTCACCACACCAAAAATTGAGCCGGCTATTTTGTATCTCCACAACTGATCGATTTCTAATTTTCTTAAATCTTCAGTTTTGCTTCGAAAAGAGTCTTCCCAGGCTTGAAGTTTGACGGTCTTCATGTTTGTCAGAACTTCTTGATTACAATTAACTCGATCGTCCTTGACCTTCATAAGGCCCATCATTAGTTTTCCCATCCGCTTTGTTATATTAGCTGTCAAAGGAACACTGAGGATAATGAAGAATATTCCACCTAGACTCGCGAAGCTCAGAAGCTGCCACAAGTAAAAAACAGCCAAAACCATCGTTACCGGTGCAGAAATACCTTGAATCGCATACTCTGAAAGCATAACAATCTTACCCACATCGGTACCCATCATGTTTGAAATTTGCCCGATCGGGTGATCTCTGTAAAAAAAGGAGTCAATTTGCAAAGACTTCTTAAATATTGCAAACACCAACGCTGTTCGGACACGAATTCCAACTTGAAGAGTAATGTACGACGCTTGTCTGGTGCACAAGCTGTTTGCAATTTGCGCCAAGAAGAGAGCAAGTGTCAATGACAAACCGTATGTCAGAGAAGCTGATGGATCTAGCAAATATGGAATAATCATTTGTAGTACCATTGGTCCAACAAAATTTGCAGCGGTTCCAGTAGTAGACAATAGGCAAGCGACAATGTATGGGCGTAAAAATGCCTTCGTAAGCGCTCGTGTTAAGCTTGGATCGTGGGGGTGGTATTTTAGTTCCTGTTTCCAACAGGTCTCGAATTTGTCATCGATATGGACCGTGCTATTCTCTTTTGGCAAGGGTGGAATTCCTTGGTCTTCTTCAATGTTTGGGAGCTGCCCATTCTCAACTTTGGATTTGATCTCTTCCAAGACCGGGGTGTACCTATCAATGAATGAGAAAGATTGCAAAGCCAACTTAATGAGTACGAATGGAAAAACGGTTGATTGGTACCAAAACGGTAGAAGTTTCATGCTGGAACGTACCAGCTAAAGCTCAGATAGGACCATATGGAAACCGGATCGGAAGACGACGAAGCGGATTTAAAAAGCAGAGCGGCTGTTTCATCTTCATCTTGTTGATCGTTGTGATTCACCATAACACGTATCTTTTTGCCGGATCACAAAGGATCGTTTCTTCTTCAATGGTGGGTATTTTACCGTATGGTTTTTCCATGCAATAGTTCAGTGGAGGCCTGCTTGTGTTAACAGCTTGTTCTATTCTAAAATCTACGATACGATGCTCATCATGTTGGGTCATTCGGGTCATTCCCATACATAGAATCTATGCCAGGCCCACCGGAACCCACACGCGCACATTCCCCTTTGAAATCCAACATTGGGGCATGATTTCGTGGGTTATTTTTCCAATAAAATAATCCACGTTTTTTGTTTTAGAAACGGGGGTCATTATTCCCATGAAATAACCCACAATCCTGCCGGTAAAACGTGGGTTATTTTTCGGTATGCCCACACCTCTGCCAGTCCGTAAAGATCGATACCGCAGCCATTCCCGGGATACCCGCAAGAGACTGAGCGAGCAGGTAGAGAAGGAAGGGCACACACCGGACCACGGGCCTGCCACCACACAACCATGAAGGCGTACGGCAAGGGGCGCCTTCCGCCCAGGAATACCACCATCAGCGACAGAGCTCCCGGTGATGGGAGCGGCCGATCGGCTGTAAAGGCCGTTCGGTTGCCGGAGTCGAACTGGAAATACCTCCTGGTCTTGACGGGGTTTGTCTTTGTGAACCTGGTGTGGGTTACGCAGTTCGTGGAACTGGACAGCAACCATGCAGCGATGAACGGTGCCGTGAACATGGCTATGAATCTGTATCACACTGGCGGTACGGGCAGTGGCAAGACGAATGGTCCGACCGACGAAGGCTCCGATTCCAACTATGGGAAGGACAACAACAACAACAATCGGAGGGACACGGAAGCATCCTCAAACTTGCCCAAGACCACCGTTACAAAAACCGAGTCGACAAACGCAAAAGAAGAAGTAACCACAACGGTCGATGACAAGAAAGACAAGGAAAATAAAGACAAGAAGGAGAACAACATAGCGGATGCTCCCGAGATAAGGTATATCGCTCGGGCGGGACGAAGAAGACGGCGCCGCAACCACCAAAAGAAGAAGGAAGACTCGAACCGAACGCTGACACCGGAAGAAAAACTCAAGTACACATACGTGGAGACGGCCATTGCGCCTAACGTTTCCAACGCCGTGTACTACCGCGACATTCCCCCCGAGTTTCTCGTTCGCGATCCGGACCGCTTCCTCTGGGATCGGACCTACACGACGGCGGGCACAAACGGAAGCAACGGCACGGTGGTGGAGGTTCCTGAGTGGATGAAGGACTACTTTCGCTGGCACCGGTATAAGCGATCGACGTGGAATCTCACCGACTGGCAAAGCGAGCGCTGGCTGATCAGCCAGTGCCTGAAGGACCAGGACCCGAAGAAATGCGGCGGGACGGCCGACCGTCTCAAGCCCCTGCCCACGCTCCTCCGCAGGGCCTGGGAGACCAAGCGCATCTACCTGATCCGGTGGACCCGGCCGGCGATGCTGGAGGAGTTCCTGGTTCCCCCCGAGGGCGGCTTTGACTGGAGGGTTCCGGGGGAGCTCACCGCGGTCCTGGGCGAGGGCAAGCGCCTCTCCACCCGGCAGATGATCGAGAAATACACCTCCGGCGGGATGTCCTTGGTGCGGGCGCGGTACCAGACGGACGAGCCGCACCGGATCTACGACAGGTACGTCTTTGGGCCGAACCGCACCGGAGACGGCGATGATGACGGCGACGTCCGTGGCCAGGACCAGCCCGGCTTTGAGCGCATCTTTGCTGTCGCCTGGAAGATCGCATTTACACCCTCCCTTCCCGTCCAGGACCTGCTCCGGGCCAAGCTGGCCGAGCTGGGCCTGGTGCCCAACCAGTACGCTGCTTCCCACCTGCGGGCCCTCTACGGCGAGACTTCCCGGCCGTCTCCCATCATCCAGAAGTTCACCCAAAACGCCCTGGCGTGCGCCACCGAGCTCACAGCGGCAAATCTGGGCGGGGTCGACGCTTCGAGGACGATGCCCATCTTTTTTGCCTCGGACAGCAAGATCGCAATCCGGCACGCGCTCTCCCTGTCCAGCGGCGGCGAGGACCCGCTCGAGGGGCTCCCGAGGGTGGTGGCGTCGTCCAACCCGAGCGCCGTCCACGGCGAAAGCGACGGAAGCACGGGCACGGGGGACTCGCTGGTCCACCTGGATTCCCTGGTGGCGCCCGTGGAGGCCTTCTATGACACCTTTGTCGACCTGTACCTCATGGCCATGGCCCGTTGCGTAACCTATGGCCGGGGCGGGTACGGCCACTGGGCCCTGCTGATCGGCGGCCACCTCGACTGCGCCAAGCGGCAGCACATCATCGGTCGGAGGATCAAGAACGAGGCCACCGACCTCTGCCACGTTCCGGAAGGAGCCGCTGCGAGCGGCGGGTTGCCGCCGCTCCCCGCCGGCGGTGAAGCACCACGGGAAGGCCGCGCAATGCCGGTGGGGTTTGGAAACGACGGCACCGACGGGCCCCTCTTTCTTCCTCCAGCGCCATGAATCGGGAGCCCTGGGCCAAAGGGGGTGTGCCGCCCGTTGAACAAACAATGGAACTGCTTCGGCAGGATTGCACGCAAATCGCGTCGTTTTCTAGTTGGGGGAATGCAATTGAAGTTCGGATAGCGCCATTGTCTGGCGGAGTCTCGCGAAGTTGTTTTGCCTGCCAAGTTGTGGCTATTCTGTGTGACTTCCAGTGAATGTATTGGATGTGCACGACGAAGTCTAGGAAAGCATTCACTGGTTACAGCGACGAAGATCCTTTCGCAGAAAACACCAAAAACAAGTTCAGTATCTCAGGATCGTTTCACTTGAACGGAAACAACATGTAGATTTGTATTATGATAATATTATACTGTACTGTACTGTACTCAACTATACTATACTATACTATACCATACTATTGGAATAGTATGGTAGACCCGTTCACAACCACAGCGTGCCCACAGCGTGGACCACTCCAAAGACTTCCGGGTTCGATGCGCAAAACGGCGGCCGTGCCGTGGTGTCTCCGCTCCCTTAGTTTCTCACTTCCAGCTCGGGGCAGGACACGGTAAATTCTTGCGACACCAGGAGGGGGTACTCGGGCAGCAGCTGCCGGCCGTCGGAAAACAGGCCGATCACGTAGGTGCCACCGGGGAGGCCCTCGACCTCCCTCGAGGCCTCGTCCCGCAGCCAGCCCCAGTCGGTCTCGACGAAGCGGGCGTACGCGTCGGGCGTCTCGACCCACGCCCAGAACTCGTCGGTGGCCCCGCCGCCGTTCGCCAGGCAAAAGTCCATGCTCACGAGGGACGCCCCGTCCACGCAGGTGGCCTCGAGAACAATGCCATCGGCGGTGCAGCCCGCAAAGGGGTTCGGCGCGGGCAGGGTTCCGCCCGTGGTCCCGACCTGGGAGGGCACTACCGTCTTCTCGCCGGCTCCGGGCGCCGTTTCTGCGTCGACGCCGACGCCGGTGGTGTTGGTGCCCGTGGGGTCGCTGGGGGTGTCTTCCCAGGGGACGCTCTGCTGGTCCACGGTGCGTGGGGGCTCGGAAGTGCCTTCTTCCGCCGGCCCGGACTCCACCAACAGCGGATCCCCGATGCTGTTCTCGGCGCGCTGGTTGCGGCTGACCCCGTACTTGATGGACACCCCCAGCAGCACGAAAAAGGTGCTGATGCAGAGAAGAATCACCCCGAGCTTTTTGTAAAAGTCCGGGTCGTCCTTTCCCTCCTTCGCTTCGTCGGCCAAACCGGACGCCTGGGGCATCGTGACGACGTACTGGTCGGCTTCGATGGACTCACCGTCGCCGTCGTCGTCGTCGGCGACGGCGATGGACTCAGTGTTCTGTTTGCCTCCCGCAAAGGCCTCCGGCGGGGGCGGGGGTACCGAGTCTCCCGTTGAGGAAGCGTCGTCCGGGGCACCGGCTGCGAGGGCCAGGTCGTTTTCTCCCTCCGCTGGGGTGGTTTCTTTCTTCTTTCTGCCAAAGACCATGGTTCATTCGATTGCTTGTTTTTGCTTGCTTTTCCTTGTGTATGGGTCGAAGGATGCCGCTTTTGCGAAGAATACCGGTTTCAAGATTGAACGAAAAGAAGGTCAAATACTGCACTCCACTGTACCGTACGTACAGTACATACTACCAACGAAGTACCGTATGTACGGTACAATACAATACTCTACTACGAGTACCGAGTACCGAGTACGTAGGTACGGTACAGAAATTGTGTTTATTGTTCAATTGTTCAACCATCCAAGCGTGAACCAATCCCTTTGTTCCTTGGTGGGAGTCTACGAAAAGAATTCGATGCCCTACATACCGGTACGTACATCTTTATGTACGCTACAGTACCGTACGAGTCTACGTCTACCCAGTCGTGTATGGCCCGACAATACAGTCGTAGTGTGTAGCGTCCGTGTCGTTCGAGCGCAAAACTAAGGCATTTTTTCCGGCGATCGGCACAATTTCGGCGGACGGAGGGTGACTGACCACTAGACGCGATAGTCCTCTCGGCTGAAAAAGTAGGAGAATACATTCAATCATCGTTACCGACTAATTTGAATATTATTGCTCGCGCGCGTTCTTCACAAAATTGTGCTTCCCGGAAACTGGATTATTAGCTGCTGTCTGTACATCCTCTTCTTGGAGCCTTGCCCCTTTGATCAAAGTAGTCAATACAGCTGGTACTGTTACCAGCACAGCAATTCAGACACGAGGGATTATGGAAGTTCCTCATAGTCTGCTATGGGGGTTACATGCAATCCCTTAATTGTTTCTCGACCCACCTCAATGTTATGCATATATTTTCATATTCCATGATCTGTGACGATACTACTACTAGTACTAGTACCTGCTGTCGTCTGTGTGCATGCTGGCCATTTCTTTGTTAGTGAAAATAACACAGTACTAGTAGTAGTAGTAGTAGTACTAAGATGGATTCCCACCAACCGGACTTGCTAGTAGTACCCCTCCTGTCATTCTATGTTTTATTTCTTTTAAAATTTCCTCTCTGTGCTCACTGGAAAAACTTCAGTAGAGGGGTATCCTGAGCCTGCTCGTTTCTTTTAGTATTTTTGCACTCTGTGCTCACTGGAAAAACTTCAGTAGAGGGGAATCCTGAGCCCGCTTGTTGCTTTTATTTTTGGCTTGGGTTTGTTAACTTTGAATAAATAGGAGTAGTAATTTGGTTTCAAAATCTTGAAGGTGTTGCTGTGACTGGAATAAATAGTTCAGTTTCAAAATCTTGAAGGTGTCGAGACTGGAATAAATAGTTTGGTTTCAAAATCTCCAGGGTGCTGTAATAATTAGATTTTTAAATTTTCTGCCAAGAAAACCATGGAATCCAATGCTGAACCATTGTGATTCTGTGAATATTTTATATGGAATAGTATGTTTACTTCAGCACTAGTATGATATTACTGCTACCAGTACTAGGGAAAGTCATTGTTACCACCACATATTCTAGACCCCTTCAAACACTGCTCAAACTTTTCTTGAATAGAAGGACAAATGAAATCATCACCATAATCATAATCGTCATTGTAATTGTCATTGTAATTGTCATCGTAATCATCATTGTAATTGTCATTGTAATTGTCATCGTAATCATCATTGTAATTGTCATTGTATTTGTCATTGTAATCATCATTGTAATTGTCATTGTAATTGTCATTGCAATCGCCATTGTAATTGTCATTGTAATCGTCACTGTAATTGTCATTGCAATTGCTTGTCATTGTAATTGTCATTGTCATTGTAATCATCATTGTAATCATAATTGTAATCATCATTGTAATCATCATTGTAATCGTGCAACGGATAGTATGTACGTACTACTGTAACGGAAGTATACGTACGTACTGTATTGAAAGCGTACATACCATATTGGAATCATACAGACATACGATGATGCTTCCTCCGAATGGATGGACATACCATTCCTACCCACATATCATAGGGTACTATTCATATAAATATATCATATGATCCATTGTATCAAGGATCCTATCCAAGATGTTGCGAGATATATTACCTTGCAAAGAACAAGTTCCAAATAGTGAGAACCCCGTGTGGATTCAGTACCAGATCTACACAAGGATCTAATTGGAACGGAATTCTCGTGAACTTGCACAATAATCTTTAATCTTACAATTTCATATTCAAACACACTTAAAGGCAAAGTACACATAATCTAGTGCAAATCGTCATTGTCAATGACAACATTGTCATTGTCATTGTCATTATTGTCATTGTCATTATTGTCATTGTCATTGTCATTATTGTCATTGTCATTATGGTCATCATCATGGTCATCATCATGGTCATCATCATGGTCATCATCATGGTCATCATCATTGTCATCATCATTGTCATCATCATCATCATCGTCATCATCATTGTCATCGTCATCATCATCATGGTCATCATCATCGTCATCATCNGTCATCGTCATCATCATCATGGTCATCATCATCGTCATCATCGTCATCATCATCGTCGTCATCATCGTCATCATCATCGTCATCATCATCGTCATCATCATCGTCATCATCATCGTCATCATCATCATCATCATTCAATACACCTCTGTTGCTTCCATTAGGATTTCCCACTGATATACTCCCTGCTTCAAGTAGAAACCTTTCCTTGAGTTGATTTTCAAAAAATTTTCAGTTTCTGGGCAACTGCACAGTGATTCAACCTTTTGGCACATACAGCTATATGGTTCCTTTCTTCCACTGTAAAAATAACAATATTTCTTTCTTGTAATTTTTGGAATACCCTTGCCTACTACTAGCACCTTCACTTTGTAGGGGTCTTGGTTGGGGTTGTATTGATACTAAAACACAGTACATACTACATGCAGGAAACAATGGGACACAAAATTTGTCCTCCTGCTCCCCTCCCACCCCTCTTGTTTTCTACCATACTATGTGATTCTACCAAAATTTTATTGTCATGGTGCATGCTATATTGACAGATGGAAAATTATACATCCACCACTACTATATTGACTGGGATACATTCTATAACTACGTTCCCTACATACAGTATTGGGCCAAATCCTAAACATTGAACAAACGTTAACTGAACCAAATTCTACATCCCACCAACATCTGAATTCTATGTGGCATCTGAATTCTATGTGTCAACTGGTAAGAATTATCAACATCCAACGTCAATAGAGCCACATTGACAGGGCCAAATTCTACTTCCCAACAGCTAGATTCTACATGTCACCTAAGCAGAATTCTTCCAATTCATTGACTTGGATACAAGGTGAATTTGGCCAAATTTAACATGGTTGTTCTGGACACATTCTACATGCTGCATACCCTATATCAATTGGTCCAAATTCTACATCAATGTCACGTGGAAGCCGCGTCTTCATTCAACACTGCTACATTGATTTGGTGCAAATTCACATGGTCTCCATGTCAATTCAACAATCAACCTCGTTACCCAATTTTATTTCCTTTATTTCAGGAGCTATCATGTAGTTGTAATCGAAACTAAAAATGTTGTTCATGTTGTTGAATCCAATAGTAGTTATGGCCAGCAATGGAACCAAGCAAGCCCTAAACAAAAACCCTATGCCCTTCCTCAAACCCCATGCAGCAGCAAAAGCAAAAAACAATAGACTTCTGGGACACATCCCACGCTCTCTCCTAGTAGACCTCTGTTGCACTGACAAACTACCCACCCACCCAAACACACTTCACAGCACCCTCATCAACAAGAAAGCAATCACCAAAATCTCTACAACCACAAGATGGCTCCTAGCTGCCTGCACATGCAAAAATGAGGACCCAACAATAAGCAACCTCCCCCTTACCAGCACAATCCTAAACCTCCCTTTCTCAAAAGAACTCTCCACCCAAATCACCATCCCTGGTCAAATGAAGCATTGGCCCTCATTGACCTACTCATTGACCTACTCATCTCAAACAACATTCTCACCCTAGAAGTAAACAACCCACCAACCATTCAAAATGAAGAAAACAAAAACACAAACACAAATCACACACACCACACAAACCAACCTCATGAGAACACTATTGACCTATGCACATCACCCACCAAGTCACCCCAACTTTTCAATCAACATCGCTACATATACCAGAACCAAACACCACCAGTAACCACCCACAACCAATTCCCAACATCCACACAAAGAAACATTGAACCACCAACCCTCACTTCAAACCATAGCAGAAGACATCCATAACATGGTATACAAAACTCTGACAACTCCTTTCCAACACAACAGCTACACCCACACCCAAAGAAATCAACCAAATGAACATATATGCCTCCATCATCGACACACCCAAACCTACTGCCTCAGTTCAACCAATGACCAACATACAGCTCCTCCACATTATAGGATGGTCAGGCACACCACTCTCCCAACTCCAAACTTTCCACACCATCAACAACAATGCATGGGAACACGTTGTAAAATCCAAAAAGCATTGCAAGGCAAAAATTGAACACTTCTTCACGAACCCCTTACAAATATCATTCCCAAAACTCCAAGGACACCTCTCACATGACTGGACATCCAACAACATACGGCATCACAGTGCCAAGATAACCAAAATGTCCCGCGGCACCACTCCAAGAGCAATTACGGAAAAGGAATGCGCTTAGTTTAAGTTTTTGTTGCTTCTTCTTGCTGCGGTCACAAGTACAACTACGAAGTACAATACTAGACAAAAAACTAACTGATATTGGACTCCCCCTGTCTCACTATTTTTGGATTGTTGCTTCTTGTTCTTTCTCGACAATTTATTGACAATCAAATACAACAAGTGATGTTAAAAAATCCTGCTGTTTTCGATTCCTACACCTTATTTCCGGTTCAAAAAACTTTCGATTTATGCTTTTACGATTCTCCGCTCCAGCCCGGAACAACCACGTTCAGAATACCTACGATCATGGCATACAAAATCGATGCAAAGGTGATAACCAAAAAGATCAGCCCCCCTGTTCGTGACGACCCGTATTCCGAGTCGCGCAACTCAAACAGTTCGTCTTTGGTTCGCGGAAGCATTCGGACCAACAGAATTCCACTAAGTTGTGCGATTGACGTGAGGAGCGCCAGATTCACCATTCCGGTTAATTCGTGGTCGGCCAAAGCATCCTTGGAAACGTCCCATATACCGAGCAAATGAGTCGAAATAGCTCTGCTGACCTGTCCGGCAGAGTTGTGGATTGTTGTGAACATAGCGTACGATGCTCCCTCTGAACCCTCGGGACAGAGATGTACCATCTAAGAAAAAGAAAAGGCTCGATTAGAGATGTATGACTTTCTGTTCGTTTGAGAGCTCCAAATGCAACGAGAACTTACCATGATTGTGGATGGAAGAAATTGAACACCTGCAAGAAATTCAGCAAATGCATCGTCGCCCAATGCGAAAGCGAAGTTCGGTATGCCAAAGGTTATTCCGAGAATCAGTAGAATTTGAAGGGCGCTGAAAACTCCATTCAAGAGTGTACAGATAACGTATACTAGCCGCCAAGACCAATTCATCATAAAGTATTTGTACGTGATGATTCCAAGATAGAGCAGCACGCTCGATGCGATGTAAATAAGATTGATTTGCGTACTCGTAAACTCCAGAGTCGTCTTGAGATATTGGTTCCAAGCCGCATTCCCAATCTGCAGGACATTGTATATGTATACGAAGGCCATAGGCTGCCATACAGATCGGGAACAAACTGTCGTCCAAATTTCGTGGCACTGATCTCTTGTGGAGGCAACTGCGGAGTATCGTACCTCGCCCAAATAATACACAAACGGTAGAACGGAGAGTGGCAGTGCAGACAATAGAAAGATGACCGAGCCGGGACCTCGCCATTTATAGAGGGCAGTAGAGAGTGGGCCAGCACACATGTAGCCAAAGAATCGGTAGCTATAACAAGATGACTGCGTCGCACCTTTCGCGAAGGAAGGCTCTAACCTAGCTTTTTCAGCAACAACGCTATCGCCCATGACGTCGGCCAGCCAAAAGCCTGTAGGCAGCACAGATCAAAGAAAAATAATCAGAACAGGTTAAAATTTTGTGATGCGTTTCAAATAGAAAATCGTTCCCACCATCTGCATTGAACATCATTTCAAGTGGGGTAAATATGAAACCACTTACCAGTTCCGAACAAAAAGGTCATTAAGCATAAATAAGGAATTGATGGTGCGTTGGGCGGAGCCACTGTCTCCGTTCCAATACTTCCATCGTCTTTCGTATACTCCTCTTCCGACAACGTCAGATCGCTTGTAAACAGAAGTGATCCATAGGCAGCAGCCGACATGCCCCACCCGATAAGCATATACGATTTCCGCCTGTATCCCAAAATCGGAAAATTGTCCGAGATGAAGCCGAAGATCAATTTGAGAGAGGCAGGAAGAGACTTCAATGTTGCTATCGTCGTTTGTTGGGCTTCCGTCGCGTTCAAATCCAGTGGGTATACATTGATCAAGGGTCCAGATAATCCCTGCAATATTCCTACCAACAAATAACAGGCCGGGATCGCAATGTTCTCCCTACGCAACAACTGCAATTCAGGAGGCAATTGTGGAGGGTACAACCAATCTTGCAAATTCCAGGGTCCATTGGGTCCATCACTGTTCTTCTGGTCATTTTCAGAGATAATTCCATCCATGTCATACTCCGACGAAGTTGTTGGTTCGTCTCCAAATGCATCAGCCGTTACGAGTTTTCTGGAAGTTAGAGGCTGCAATTCGATAGATTTGGTACTGCCAGAAGAGACAACACTTTTCACGGCAACCCCGAAATCATCGGCTCTATCTTTGTTGCTGTTGTTGCCATACTGTTCCGCCATGGTGTCGATGTAAACTAGTCCGGCCTGTCTTCCTATCTCTTCCCCGGAGGTCGATCAGGTTGGAAAAGAAGTTTGGAATACCGATTTACATGAATTACGCGTGTTAGGCTGTTATTACGATGTCAATTCGGGTGTCTTTTTTCCGTCGGTGGAAATAATTTTTTTATGAGTACAACTACGGTGGCTAAAACCGGGTGATATTGGAAAAAAATTTACCTCCACAATTTGTCAATGGCTATTCAGTCGTTAAAAAAGCAGACCATCCCCAAATAAATTTACTTAGACCAACATGCCCTAATTTCTTGTTTACTCTCATCACCAACAGTCATTTCATCCACAGAAGTAACAACTCATGTTTCTCACTTTTACGAATACATTCTTGTCAATGTTTTGCATTACTAGTACCCTTAATTTTATCCATCTTCTTACCACTACTACTAGTAGTACTAGTAGTACCCCCCTTCCTGTAAACTACTACTAGTATCGTATAGGATGGCCACATTTTTCAGGCCGAACCACCATACATACATTTTTTACTTCAGACATACAGCGCTAGCATATACCTTTCAATACTCCCTCTATAACTCCCCCATGGGACTAGAAAGGTCTTTTTACTAGTATTGGCTTTCCATTCATGTTGTTATTAATGAAAAGAGTCCGTTGTGGACCAAGATAGAGCTGTTAGAGTGAGTTGACCCTTAGTTAACTCTCTACATGTATTTTGTATGGTGTGTTGATTTTGGGCCATCTAATCACAGTGTAAAGACTACTTTGACTCAACGCATCCAGTCCTAGACTCAATGCATTCTAGTCCCACAAAGGACACTTTGCACCTCACCAATAGACAATGTCCTCACTAAATTAGGCCACTAATTGTGTGAACTCAGAACTTGGCAATACCCCTCCTACACGCCTTGCATTCAGCGTGCTAGAGAGTTTACCTATGATGAGTGGGCACATCCCCCTTTCTACATGGACCAAAGCTTTTCCTTTGATTCTGACAACTATGAGGAGATGAATTGTGAGAACTAGTAGCAACCAAATAACCAACCCAAAATGCAACCAAAAATGCTTGCACCAGCAAAGCAACTGGCAAAGCAACAGAATAACCAACCAGGAATGCAGTTGCCTCAGCAAGAAAGCAACTGGCAAAGCAACCAGCAAAGCAACCAAATGAGCAGACGGATGAACAACAAACAAATGAGCAAACTATCCATAGGTCTGTTGCAGGAGATATAATTTTTTAAAAATAGTGATGCTGAGAAAGAAGTGGAGGGAGACATTGATTCAATTTGTTGTTGTCAATTGTTGTTGCCGATAGTAGCTTGCTGATTAGTGTTGCTGTTGAAATACTGCTATGGATAGTAGGACTGATGCAGGAGATATACTGTTGCTTAATAGTGATGTGGCTGTAGTGTCAATGAAGGGGGGGGGGGGGGGTGAGTAGATGTTGGTTGTTGGAATGAGAAGTGCTTTCACTGGGATAATGGTAGCTACAGCACATGGTTGTGAGGACTCCTCTGTGTCCAGCAATTGACAGATTGTTGCCTTCTTCCAGCTACCAGCATAATGAAGGAGCAATATTCACTGAGCAGTATTGGTGCAACATTGGACAGTATTTTAGGTCAATATGTTCATCGAGAATGTGTTTCTGACACCTTGGTTGCGGTTGGGGTTTTTTACTTGGGAAAAAGATAGCCCAAAATGTACAACTGGTTTGTACTACATCTGCTGGCCAGTCCTATATCATAACTTCCAGCTGGCCTCAAATTTAGATACAGATGTTTCCCCTACTCCAAATTTGTGGTAGTACTTTCTGCTGACGTCAAATTGTTACCCCTACCCCAAATTTGTAACACCAGGACTTCTTTCCCCTGTCTTTCATTTTACACATGATACATCCAAAGTATGATAAAAATCAAACAATATATCCCTCACTCCACCTGATCAATCCATTTCTTTCATTCCATGTGCAACTTCATTGGACGGTCATACCAAAACTTCAAGCATGATATCTCACACCACCACCAATTTCAAGATAGAAGGCAAGCCCCAGTACAATGCAAGAGCAATGATCAATGGATCTGAGCAAAATCTGTTTGGGACAAACCCTTTCTTATCTCACATTCTTAGACATCTGTTTGGGACAAACCCTTTCTTATCTCACATTCTTAGACCACCTCATCTTTGCTGTAAGGAATCTAGTAGGAAACTCAGCAGATTGTTCAAGGCTATCCTTTCCCACATGCACTGTGTCCTTAGTCATCATAACACCCAATAAGGTGGAACTGAAACTTACTAGTACTACTATGTATTGAAGTCTTTTAGTCTTCTAATTACTATATGTCCATGGTTCCCCATTAACTCTACTAGTGTTTGCAGGAACTCATTCTTGCTGAGTGGTCAATCCATGCTGCTTGCCTGCCCACCAGCAAGGTCTCTAGTTTCCTTTTTGGTGATAATAGGGTATCATTTTGGAATTGATTATTCTTGTCTCATCAACTCGGCACTCGACATGATCCATAAGCGCCACCAGTAGCCCTTGTGGTATCTACTCCATTGCCCTGGTCGGTAAATGTCTTGCAGAGGTGTCACAGCAGGCAAGGCAGGGGAGGACACATGTGTTCTTTCACTTGCCTGTGCTGCTGTTAGTACCATTTTTTACTTGTTACCAGCAGCCAGTATTAGTAGTTTCTTTAATAGCACTACTAGTAGTACTAGTAGCTCCTTGATCTCCTTGTATTCCAAGTTTTTGTCCTTCCTTGATTACAATTTGAGCTCATGTATGCTTTATTTTGTGAGCTTTTTGAGAACCACACACCTTCATGACAAGAAGTCAACAGGAGGGGGAGTTGCAAAATGGTAACATTTCAGTGTAACTTGTACTGTATTGAGGAACCAAAAGAGGTATGGTGCGTATGCGACCAAATGAAAAACCTAATGCAGCTGCAAAGTAGAATCTCTACCACCACATAAAAGTACCGTGGTAAATGGGGTACAAGGTTGTGGTGTTAAATATCGCGTGCGATTTATAACAGATTATGAGTCAAACTTTTGAGAGCCATGTTTAGTAACCTGGAGCAAGCTTTGCATGCTTGGTAATGATAGCAAAGGACCAATCAGATTTAGAGAATCCATGGTGGGCTGGAAAGGGTTTTCTTTCCTCTCCACAATGATGTGAACATTACTGGGTGTTTCTTTTCAAAAACCTTTTTGGGCTTGTTGATTTCTCTCTGCACCAAAAAATGCAAAAAACTCTCATTTAATCAACCTCAACATAGGGACCTGTCACCTCTTTAGTTCAACACTTTAACCAACACTAACAGCGCAATTGACATACAAGACCTCTTCATTATAACAAGAAGGACAGGGGGATCTGGAAGTCTTGGATTGATTGACCGAGTGGTTTAGAAGAAACACTAGTAGATCTAAGCAACAGGGAAAAATCGTCGTGAAAATACTCGTATCAGCATCCTTGTATCAGCATCCTCCGTATCAACCCCTGTCCAGCACCTCCTCCATATCAGCATCCTCTGTATCAGCGAGCCTCCGTATCAGCATCCTCCATATCAGCTAGCCTCCGTATCAGCATCCTCCATATCAGCTAGCCTCCGTATCAGCATCCTCCATATCAGCTAGCCTCCGTATCAGCAGCCTCGTATCAGCAGCCTTGTACCATCAGCAGCCTTGTATCAGCAGCCTCATATCAGCAGCCTTGTTGTATCAGCAGCTCCTCCGTATCAGCACCTCCTCTGTATCAGCAGCTCCTCCGTATCAGCATCCTCCATATCAGCAGCCTCGCGTCCTTCTCCATATCAGCAGCCTTGTAAATATTTTTTTTGGGTTCCAGGTGGAACTAAGTGACAGCTTGAGCTCCAGGGTGTAATATATCGCATTGTTCTTCACGCAGGCCTGTGTAGAAATAGTACCAGAAAAAGGCTGTCACGCGATATTTCACACCACAACCTCGTAGTCTCAATTGGTGAAATATGAAATAGACTACATATTTCTACGTATTTGAAGCATCAGTGGACTCTTCCGACCGTTTTGAGAAATTGGATTCAAAAATTTGGTTCTCGTACCGGTCCTACATTTTTACACGGAAAACTCTCTTTCGACGGAACACAATTCGCCTCCCTTGTTCGTCAATTGTCATCATAATTAGTGAATTGTGCCACTAGTTTCGATAATACTTAAACTTACCCGCCCTCATGGAATAACCTTAAGTAAACCAAAACAATTTGGGAATGACTTCAGATCCGCTTTATGCCAATCTTCATCAATCATCGAAACGACACACGTAATTTCGATTTTAAAAAAGTTTATCTAAGAGTACAGAGAGGACTGTTTTGAGTCTCTGACGCTTCTCCGTTGATGGAAATTCAGCAGCGTACAGATAATCTCTCACCAAACAATCTAATCGCACCCAACATTTCCACAAATGTATCGACTAACAGTAAGTGTTTAGAGATTATGATGGCGTTGATGACAATATCCACACAGATTCCCTGCCGCTGGACTGAATAGTTATCGAAACCAGAATGTTTGCCAAGCTGCTGGTGACGGCTTTGGTTCTCTGGATTAATCTAAGTGTCTCTTACGGCGAGGATACGGCCGACGATAATATATTTGTTGGAAACAATGGCAATAGTACGGAAGATGAGTTTCCAATTGACTGGGACTACGAGGCGATCATTGTGGTACGCTGGGATATTGAAAGCCCTCCAATCGTTGAATACGACAATCTCCAATTTGATATTCAATTTTCTGTCAGCGATTATATCGAAGCAGAAAAACACGTTCGATATAACGTATATAAAACCCCCGAATGTGGAAATCCAGATGATATCATCACAGCTAGCGACGGGTACATGGAAACCTGGGTAAGCGAAGACAAAACTCCCATTGGTCCGGGGCTTGACGAGAATGTCAAAAAAGTCGTAACGGTCTCGAACAAACTCAACTCTCAAACCATTTCCCAATCGGAGATCTATAGTGAGGATTCATTGGAAACTGGAACAGATGCATCGATAACGTACTGTGTTCTATTCGGTCTTTGGAACGGAGACGGTCCCTCGGATCCGGATGCTATGATGATTAATGACATGGCAGTGACAGTCATCTTGTCTCTCGATCTAGGTGACGACTTTAAAATCACGGGCCAAAACGTAGCGGCAAAAGCTAGAGACGTGGAGATCTCCGACGACCGATTCTTTGTTGAAGCCTTTTTCTGCGACGAAACTGGGAAACCACCAACTCTGGTGGCTCCAAAAAGACAGGGTTCCATTGTTCGGGTCTGTGTCCAACCCACGAAACAGGCAGCGGATGTTGGTTTCCGAATGCAAAGCATCGATGAGTTCGACTTTGCCCAGGGATCGACCTCCCAAGAAGCAATTTCCGACGGAAAAGAATCTTCAAACGCGCTCACGCGACTTTCCTGTAAGGAAGGCGCCAAACAGTGTTTCTTTGACACCGTCCTCCTCGCCAGTTTTTACGAAAGCGGCCCCGAAGGGGCTCCAGGGCAGATAAACGGGGATGGGGTCGCTACCTTGCAGTGGGGGGGCGAGGGGGTTGATCGACGATTGCAAGACATTTTTCTCGATCAATCTCTAGAGTTTGCAACCGTCGAAAGCAACTCGGAGAAAGACTACACGATCAGTGAACAGCTCGATTTCGACTTTGAGAGGCTCTTGCGAGACCGAACTTCCCAGAAGAGCATTCAGCTTCCAAATTTTGCAGTCCAGATCGAAGAAGGGAGTCAGAGACCGCCGCTGAAGGCAGACGTCGTGGCCAAGTCCGGGAAACTAAATCCGCTGCTGATTGTGTCGGCAGTAGTACTTTGCGCCCTTGTCGTGCTTTCGCTGATCTACATTCATTACACTTCACCAAAAGTTCGGAGTAAAGAAGTGGAAGAAGGCGAAGACGAAGAAAACAATCAACGCAACAATTCGCAGACGCTACCATTGCCTTCACCAAGTGACGAGGATGCTTCCGAATGCGAATGCGAATGCGAAGACAATTCCAATGCCTTCGACCACGAAGAACAACGCGGTACCAATCAATTGAGGCTCTCTGTAATAGACGAAAATCCAACCGGAGTGTTCAGTGCTCGGTCCGTTCTATCCCGAGGCTTCTAAGGAATGCTTCTGCACGTGGGACACATCGTGTGTTGAATGGATTTGGCACTCATCGGTAAAACAGCATTACGCAGCGAAAAATTTTCGATAGAACATGTAAAATACACCAATCCTAAATGGAAGAATGATGTATCCTAAAATGAATAGAAGAAAAAAGTTGATTCTAACAAAATTAATAGCAAGACAAAGCAGAATCTCGACGCCAAAGTGGCCGACAATTCCGATCCGTTATATTGAGTTTCAAGAATTATATCAAGCGGGAGCAGACGCGAATCGCTTCGTTACTTTCGTGTCTATACGCTCAATCTGTTGAAAGAGGCAGCATGACTACCACCTTTTCATGCATGCATGGCGGTTGTGCCTCTGCAATGCAAACCATGGGCTTTCCACCGTCTCGTCCAATACGCCTCCCCGCGAAACTCTACGTTTTCGGCCTTTCGAAAATCACGAAAGGTCAGAAGACAGCACGGACATCGGTTGTCGTCGGTTGGTACAGAGCCCCTGGTGCTCCCGTTGGAAACGAAAACCTGAGAGACCCCAGGTTGATAGGCATCATTCCTGGTACAGACAAACATATATCCCGGAGAAAGAACGGATTCCTTCCCCGGTATTGTTTTGCTACTATTGATATCGTTGCGAAAAGCGGCACCGGCCTCAGTGTTATCGTTTATTCGGCAGCACTGCTTGCTTTCTAGCGTGGCCCGGTACATTGGTGGCAGGGGGAGCCTCCTCACCGACGAAAATCCCGAATAGTCCCTCACGGCCTTGATCTTCGATCGCGGTGTGATGAAAATAAACCGGCTCTTGCCGCCGGTGCCGCTACTGTTCGTTCTATTGCTATCCAGTCCACCACCACAACTACCTCCGACTGGAGTCGTCGCTGCCAGCCATCCATGAATCTTGTCTAGGACGAGGCGCAGGGACTCCGGGTAGACCCTGTTCTGAGCGCCACGCTGTCGACTGCGAAAGAGAAAGGTGTCGAGGCAACCTTTGTCGATGATCACGTCCCAGTTTCTGCGGGAGGGTTCGCCCTCCAAAATATTCAGTACTTCGTACCAAATAGAGGATTCGCCTTTTCCAGGGGTTTTGTTGCTGTAGTCGCCATCGACACTTTCACAGTCTCGCTTTCGATTGGTGTCGATGCAAACCCGAGACACATCGGATCCACATGCCACGACAGAAATCCCCGAATGTCTCTCTTCGACGTAGCTTTTCACGTCTCGAACTAGAGTTGATGTCCCGCAACCAATCTCCAACATGGAAACAACTTTGTTCCGGCCCCTGGCGTCGTCGTTATCGCCGCAGCCGTTGTCGTCCTCGTTTTTTTCGATTTCGAGTTGGTCCGAAATCATTGCTAGCAGCTCCTTCCCTGGCTTGGAAATCCATTCCAACGAATTATTTTCAGTGTGATAGTCGTCCCAGAATTGGATTGTCTTGTCGCTCTGCATTATGGGTCGCCGGCCTTCGTGCTTTGTCGACAACAAGTACCTTAACGAATGGGAGAGAACTTGTTTTCGAGATGCCTCTCGTATCGTACCGTAGTTTCGTTGTTCTGATCAGCGCCCTCCAGTACCCACGCGCACATCCCCCTTTTCGAATTCCTCCCATAGAATACAGTAACGTGGATTATTTTTGGTGAAAAACGTGGGTTTTTTAATTTGAAATTTGAAAAATAACCCACGAAAGAACCCAGGAACCCACAAACAACACACAAAAGAACCCACAAATAACCCATGAATTTACAGTCATCTGGGTTGATGGAGAACCAAGGATGTTAAGTATTTTACTAGTCTTTAAGGTTATTTAATCACTGTTTTTAATTTTTGGAAAAAGGCCCAGCTTGTTGGTGGTTTTTTTGTGGGTTATTCATGATGGGTTATTTCGTGGGTTAATCGTGGGGTAGTAATCCAGGAACCCAGGAACCCATGCTTTAAAACGTGGGTAAAAACATGGGTTGTTTTATTCTTAAAAAAACAAAAAATCATACCCCCGACAATAGATTTCAACGAGGGGACGCACGGGCATTGGTTCCGGAGGGCCCAGTACAATCAGCTTGTTTTTACATGCAACAAGTTGTAGGATACTAGGGTTATGGTTTCCTGTATCTGATGCTACAGTTGTACTGGAAAGGGATTCCATACAAATCAAGAAACATGATTGGTGCAATACTCTTAGATTTATAAAGGAGTTATTGAACTTATTCATTTGCTGCATGGATCACTAGTTTATTGACATACTTGGCAATGAAAGACAACAGCATAAATTAAAGAAGAGGGATATAGTAGTACTGCTAGTACTTCATAGTAGTAGTACAACATCCAAGAGATCCTTCTTCTTAGGGTAAATTTTTTGTTTGTCAAGACCATAACTTGTGCATGATTTTACTAGTACGTGTTGCAGATCAACTGAAACTACGTTCTGCAAGGGATTGGGAACTTAAAATTAACATTCAGAATGTTCACATGTTAGCGTTAACAACATTCTGAATGTTACTAGTGGTGTAACATGATTCCATATGTTAAGTATGTAGGCCTAAGTACAATAGTGTGAACTAAAACCAGGTGGTGACACACCAGCATTACCAGCAGCTGTTCAGTATCTTGCAAGATCACTTCCGTGGGATGTTCCCTGGTAGGATTCAGTACCAGGAGCCTTGTAGAAAATAGCAAATCAAGGGGGTGCTGCTGCACTGCAGATTTTGATCAAAATGCGCGTTCAAAATCCTACTGGAGCCTAGTGTGGTCCACCTAAAACTTCCCTCCAGCTTGCTGATCTAAACTGTTCTTTCATTCAATATAAAACTCAGGAATCAGCTTTTAGAGCACTTCTGCTCACTCTTTTCTATTGTAAGCGGTATCAATTGATAGCTCTTCTGTCGATTCAACATGCCTTGAACTGTAGAAAAGGACCCAGTAGAAGTACTGTTTTGCTGTTGCTGTTGCTGTTGCTGTTGCTGTTGCTGT